ATCCCTTGTTGTAACCAGTGACATCCGGTACGTGTATGTGTGGGTGTTGCAGTCCCCGGTAACTTGTTCAATCCTCCCTTATCCTTTGCTGTAACCGGTGACATCCAATACGTGTATATGTGGGTGTTGCAGTCCCCGGTAACCCGTTCAGTCCACCCTTATCCCTTGCTGTAACCGGTGACACCCGGTATGTGTGGGTGTGTGTGGTGAAGTCCCCGGTAACCTGTTCAACCCACCCTTACTCTTTGCTGCAACCGGTGACCTGCGGTATGAGTAGGTGTGTGTGTTGCAATCCCGTAGCCCCGCTCAGTCCTTCCTCTTTCACGTGACCGGTGTCTTCCGAGGATAGTATGAGGTGGCCGGGCACCCGGGGTAGAAACGGGGGCATGGGGTTAAGAGTTAGGTTGTGTCCGATAAGCTTTCACTGTCACTTCCGCTCCTCCAATCTCGAACGCCATAGCGGACCACCTCCAACCCCTCTTCTTTCTCCATCACCCACACCCGTCCACCATAGCCGACCACCTCCAACCCTTCTTCTTCCTCCATCACCCACGCTCGTCCACCATAGCCGATCACCTTCAACCCTTCTCCCTCCTTCATCACCCAGACCCGTTCACCATAGCCAACCACCCCCAACCCCTCTTCTTTCTCCATCACCCACACCCGTCCACCATAGCCGACCACCTCCAACCCTTCTCCTTCCTCCATCACCCACACCCATCCACCATAGCCGACCACCTCCAACCCTTCTTCCTCCTCCATCACCCACACCCGTTCACCATAGCCAACCACCTCCAATCCTTCTTCTTCCTCCATCACCCACACCCGTCCGCCATAGCCAACCACCTCCAACCCTTCTTCTTCCTCCATCACCCACACCTGTCCACCATAGCCAACCACCTCCAACCCTTCTTCTTCCGCCATCACCCGCACCCATCCACCATAGCCGACCACCCCCAACTCTTCTTCCTCCTCCATCACCCACGCCCGTCCACTATAGCAAACCACCCCCAACCGTTCTTCCTCCTCCATCGCCCACACCCGTCCACCATAGTCAACCACCTCCAACCCTTCTTCTTCCTCCATCACCCACGCCCGTCCACCATAGCCGACCACCTCCAACCCTTCTTCTTCTTC